ATTAGTTGCGGGGTTTGGCCTAAAAACATTTTTTAGATGAGAAGCAAAGGTGTTTGCTTTTTCTGCGTCACTCCGAGCCCATTTGCCATTGTGGTCACGTACTGGCATTTCAGTCTCTATTGGCGCATGTANTTCTTCAGGTACAAATTTCAGCGGCTCACATTTTGACACATTGGGTACGGCAGGTAGTTGAAAATCATTAGTTACGGGGTTTGGCATAAAAACATTTTTTAGATGAGCAGCAAAGGTGTTTGCTTTTTCTGCGTCACTCCGATCCCATTTGCCATTGTGGTCACGTACTGGCATTTCAGTCTCTATTGGCGCATGTAGATTTTGGTGTGCTCTCCCTAACGAGTGCTTTGTGCTAGTCGGTGAGAGGTTTTGGATCTACTNAGATTTTGGTGTGCTCTCCCTAACGAGTGCTTTGTGCTAGTCGGTGAGAGCTTTTGGATGTACTGGTACTGTTCGTACTGTTCCTCGTTCTTGAGGGCTCTCGTCAGTGCATGTGTGGCCGCCTTGAGCAGTTGTTTTGATGCTGGTGATCTATGAGTCTGCCATATCCGTCGTAGGCGTCGTTTTTCCAATTCAAGCATTTAAATTTTCCTATTCGTTAAATTATATTTTTTATCTTGCACATAACCTTTCTGGGGTGTGGAAACGCTAGCGGCTGCTCTAAGTGTAGATTCAAGAGCGGCTATGGAGTTTTCAATATCGGTCGGCGTATCTAAATTTGGATCGAGGTCTATATGCGCACTGATTTATTTTTTATACTTTAACCAATTTGTAGCCCTTGTCGTTAGCATATAGGGTTACTCTTTTTCTTGTGGCTGATGCCACAATGTAAAAAATACAGGTGAACGGTCTGATAAGAGATCTGCAACTGATTCTGTACTAATAAGGCCGTGAGGAATTTTCCTTGTCACCGCAAAGTCAATTAAATCTGGCAACTTTTGCGGGTCTGCCGGCCAATATGTAGGCTTTCCAGGAGAAGCGTAATCGAGTTTGTTTCTTCTACATATATGTAAGCGCGTTTTGTAATTGCTTGACTTTAGGGTTGGGCAAGCGTGAGCCCCAGTGAGGGTGATTCGCATTATCATCACCTGCAGCAAGGAAGCGCTCTCCCAGCGAACTGAAGAAATCCATAAACTGTTTTTCTGTTATCGTGAAACGTGGGGGACAATAAACCGCGGACAGCGTAATATCACCTTGCTTTGTTTGTACGCATATTGATGTTGCTTGCAGATAATTCTCGGCAATTCCAGTCAAATGATGGTGTTTAATCCGGTTTCTGACTAATATACCAGTTCTGACATGCACCTTTCCTTCTGGATGATTCGTGCAATAAAAGGTATATCCCGAAATGTCAAAATTATATCTATTAGTTAGGTGTGTTTCAGCAAGGAGCATTATGTCAATTTCCTTGTCCCTAAGAAATTTTGACAGTTCTAGTTTGTGGCGAGGAATGCCGTTTGCATTTCAGAGGGCTATTTTAAGTGGCGTCATTATCTTGTTTGCTGAGTAGCAAGGAGTTTGAGCAGTGTATTTTGATTTCGCATGAGTTCTTGCATGAAAGTCATGAAATTCATCATGTTTTGTTGCATCGACGCTATCGTAGCTTCGATACTGGATTGTTTGCCGTATTGTGCATNGATTTCGCATGAGTTCTTGCATTGTGTTTTGCATGAAAGTCATGAAATTCATCATGCTTTGTTGCATCGACGCTATCATAGCTTCGATATTGGATTGTTTGCCGTATTGTGCATGGGATGCTGTTCTTGCGGCGCAACGTCAATGGAGTCTCGTTTGCAAGTGCCTTAAAATCAGGCTTAGAAAACCCTGCCCCTACAAAAACTGCACCTCAAGTTGCGCCGCAAGAACAGCATCCCATGCACAATACGGCAAACAATCCAGTATCGAAGCTACGATAGCGTCGATGCAACAAAACATGATGAATTTCATGACTTATGCAAACCATGCAAGAACTCATGCGAAATCAAAATACACTGCTCAAACTCCTTGCTACTCAGCAAACAAGATAATGACGCCACTTAAAATAGCCCTCTGAAATGCAAACGGCATTCCTCGCCACAAACTAGAACTGTCAAAATTTCTTAGGGACAAGGAAATTGACATAATGCTCCTTGCTGAAACACACCTAACTAATAGATATAATTTTGACATTTCGGGATATACCTTTTATTGCACGAATCATCCAGAAGGAAAGGTGCATGTCAGAACTGGTATATTAGTCAGAAACCGGATTAAACACCATCATTTGACTGGAATTGCCGAGAATTATCTGCAAGCAACATCAATATACGTACAAACAAAGCAAGGTGATATTACGCAAACCGCGGTTTATTGTCCCCCACGTTTCACGATAACAGAAAAACAGTTTATGGATTTCTTCAGTTCGCTGGGAGAGCGCTTCCTTGCTGCAGGTGATGATAATGCGAATCACCCTCACTGGGGCTCACGCTTGCCCAACCCTAAAGTCAAGCAATTACAAAACGCGCTTACATATATGTAGAAGAAACAAACTCGATTACGCTTCTCCTGGAAAGCCTACATATTGGCCGGCAGACCCGCAAAAGTTGCCAGATTTGATTGACTTTGCGGTGACAAGGAAAATTCCTCACGGCCTTATTAGTACAGAATCAGTTGCAGATCTCTTATCAGACCGTTCACCTGTATTTTTTACATTGTGGCATCAGCCACAAGAAAAAGAGTAACCCTATATGCTAACGACAAGGGCTACAAATTGGTTAAAGTATAAAAAATAAATCAGTGCGCATATAGACCTCGATCCAAATTTAGATACGCCGACCGATATTGAAAACTCCATAGCCGCTCTTGAATCTACACTTAGAGCAGCCACTAGCGTTTCCACACCCCAGAAAGGTTATGTGCAAGATAAAAAATATAATTTAACGAATAGGAAAATTTAAATGCTTGAATTGGAAAAACGACGCCTACGACGGATATGGCAGACTCATAGATCACCAGCATCAAAACAACTGCTCAAGGCGGCCACACATGCACTGACGAGAGCCCTCAAGAACGAGGAACAGTACGAACAGTACCAGTACATCCAAAAGCTCTCACCGACTAGCACAAAGCACTCGTTAGGGAGAGCACACCAAAATCTACATGCGCCAATAGAGACTGAAATGCCAGTACGTGACCACAATGGCAAATGGGCTCGGAGTGACGCAGAAAAAGCAAACACCTTTGCTGCTCATCTAAAAAATGTTTTTATGCCAAACCCCGTAACTAATGATTTTCAACTACCTGCCGTACCCAATGTGTCAAAATGTGAGCCGCTGAAATTTGTACCTGAAGAAATTTCAAAAGTAATTAAGGATCAACTGCAACCAAATAAGGCCCCAGGGCACGACTTAATAACCCCAAAAATGATTATTGAGCTACCAAATTGTGCTGTACTTTGCATCTGTATGCTATTTAACGCAATCACAAAACATTGTCATTTCCCTCACCAATGGAAAAAGTCGACTATTGTCATGATACCAAAGCCCGGAAAGGATAAAATGCAGCCATATTCTTTTAAGGCCCATCAGCCTGCTAGCGTGTATGTCGAAATTATTCTTAAAACTTCTTATGCTCCGCATCTCCCCACATCTGCAAGCCCGCAACATAATACCACTTCACCAATTTGGCTTCAGGGAAAAGCATGGAATAATCGAGCAAGTAAATCGCATAACAACCGAAATCCGAACAGCGTTTGAAAAGAGGGAATATTGCGCTGCAATATTTCTTGATGTCGCCCAGGAATTTCATCGCGTCTGGCTAGACGGTCTTATGTATAAAATACAAATGCTACTCCCTCAAAGCACACACAAACTGCTTAAGTCATACCTTTATAATCGAAAGTTTACAGTTCGATGTAACACCACCATCTCTGAAGTCCACGCAATCGAAGCTGGAGTGCCACAAGGCAGTGTCCTTGGCCCGATGCTGTATGTCTTATACACCGCGGCTATTCCTACAAACGACCGCCTGATAATGTCCACTTTTGCCGATGACACTGCCATAATCAGTCGCTCCAAGTGTCCTCTACAAGCAACTGCGCTCCTAGGCAATCATATGGAAGCTGTTGCCAATTGGCGAATAAAGGTTAACGAGCAAAAATGTAAGCAAGTTACATTTACACTGAATAAGAGTAACTGTCCGTCCTTGACTTTGAACAACGTAAAAATACCACAAAGCAATCATGCCACTTACATAGGAGTCCATCTGGACAGGCGACTTACTTGGCGAAACTACATAGCGGCTAAACCCTGTAGGGAAAACACGAACTAGTGAACCAAATTTCTAGTTCAGTACTAGTTCTTTTTCGCCAAAAACGAACCAGTCCGGTAGTAACTAGTCCCGCACCAGTCCAAAAGCAGTGAAATGTGGTACTTTCCCTAAACTATTTTATTCCAAATTTTAAAAGCAGGGATGGTAATCATTGTGAGTAAAATAATTTAAATCAGCATTTAATCATTATTTTATGAATTATTATTGAGTTTTATTTTTTCGCTCAAAACGGAAATAATTATTATTTGATTTTTATTTTTGGGATTACAAATAATGATTATTTTATGATTTTTATGTTTTCGCGCAGAGATTATCATTAATTTTGAGCTTTATTTTTCCACTTAAAAATAATGATAATTTATAAAATTTAAAAGGCCATACAGACGCAACCTAATGAAATTTTGACCTGAAAAGTTTGGGTCTTATTCCTCTTATAAGGGTGCGGCTGCCTCTCAAAAGAATACGTCGGTAATCACGCTGGTATAGTTTTTGAGTTGCTTAATAATCATTATACTTAGTGATTCCATAAACAAAGGCCAAGATCATGAAGGACAATTGAGAAAGGCAAAGCAGTTGCAGAAAAAGAGGCATTTAAAAAAAAAAGTGTCAAAATAATTACCACTTTCTCACTAAATTTATTTAAAAATGCAAGCCACGAGAGCTACCTTTTTTTATGAAAATACAAACAAATATTTTTTTATGCAATCCTGCACAGCTACCTTAATACAGTCAGTCAATAAAGTTTAGGTACAACGAATTTTTTACAATACGGGCAACTATTTTTTAAATATTTTAGTTTTCGGAATTTTTTTTTTAAAATATGGTCAATTCTACAACAAAATTCTGCAAAATTTCATTAAAATAATTCACTTTCTATTTACGCTCTCTAGAAAAAAGTTGAGGTTGCAGTTTTTTAGCCCATTCAATTTTAGTATAATGAAGTGCAAGTATGAGAAAGATGGGACTTAGCAAACAACAAAAAAAAATTGATAAATATCAATGGTAAGTCCTAGCTACCTCAAACTTGCACTTTGTTATACTAAAATTGAATGGGCTGAAAAACTGCGTAATTAACTTTTTTCTAAAGAGTGTAAATTGCAATATTTGGGTGGAAATTTGCAGTTTTCTTTAATTTTGCATAAGGTTTGGAACTCTGATTATTGGGGTTTTTGGTGTAGAACTAACCATATTTTTATACAAAATTAGGGAAAAATGAAATATTTAAAAAATAGTTGCCGGTATTGTAAAAACTTCGTTGTACCTAAATTTTTTCGACTGACTGTATATCTTATTTAAGTTAAGTACGACAAAAACTTTCGAAGTACTTCATATACATATAAGCTTAAAAAGAACTGAATTTACTTAAAAATCAATATGCTTAAATTTAGACAAGTAAGACAAAGTGAACTAATATTTTTACTCTTAAGCAGAACGCACTTTTGTTTTTTACTGACTACTTAAGTTTGACAATACTACTACTACTACTAATGTGGTTTATAAATTTTTA